ACTCTACTCTCACGCCATCTGGCCTACGCTGATGGCCCTATGACAGAAACCTACCCTGGATTGTCAACAACTAATGTACCAAGATACGTCACAATGAGATTGATGACGGATAGATGAAAACATACATTTGATTTAGATTTCATATTCTAGTTAGCATTTAGTATATGTAATGCCGAAGCAAGTAGCAGAGGTACTAGTACTACAGAGCAGAGGAAGAGGTAGACCTAAGAAGAAATAGATGGATTGCATGAAAGACGATATGGTAAGGGAGGAGTGAGCGAAGAAATGGTATATGATAGAGGATTATGGAAGGAGAAAACATGTTGCGCCGACCCCAGATGACTGGGAGAAGGGCAGGAGAATAATTCTAGTTAACATTTTGGTCAACATCCTCTCAAAGAATAGATGTGTAAGTATTTGTATGTGTCTAACATTTATGTATATTTTATTTTCCATTTTATATTTTTTTTTTGTTGTTTTTATTGAATTTTATTAGTTTTTTCAAATACATTTTTTTCTTACAACTTTTTGTTTCACTACTGTTCCGTTTTGCTGTTGCCTTTTCCACCATCTTAAACCTACTTCCTCTTATTTTGTTTTGCTGAAAGAAATCTCGTGTCTAATTTAAACTTGCATTTTGTACATATCACTAAGTATTCCTTTTGTATACAATAACGAATAAATAAATAGACATTATTTTAAACCGTTCACATAGGTAAATATGTTTATTATCTCAGATGGGTGGGTAGTCTTACAAATGTAGCCGTCAGCACCATCAAAGACGTCATTAGATTGCTTAAAGGCAGCGAACTGTGAATGCTTGTGAGAATGCGTTACAAACATGTTCTTCTTGTCATGACTCGCTACATGCATGACATCGGCTGCCCGTTTGAAATATTTATACCCCGTTCCATTCTGTGCTTTAGAAACCTTGGAAACATATCAATACTTCCAATGACTCGATTAGAGCCTGCGATTCTAAATTCCGATTGTGTCACATATTTTCGACACACGAATTAAATGACACGAAACAATTATTTAATTTAAAACATTCGTGCGACCTTGCCGTTTCTTACAATAAGAGACAATAATACGAAATCCTTGGGTCTCACTTGTACAAATATTCCATCCAATCTAGCTTGTTGGTTGGAACGGATGAGGAGGCAACCTTCACAGATTATAATAATAAATGGCTCTTATGATCCTAGGAAATTCTGTAAAGAGTCTAAGCTGAGAATCGATGACGGAATGGTGAGTTTGGTGAACAAACAACCCGATAAAGCGTGTAATGAATAAAGAATTTAAATTCCCCCAAAACAATACCACTCTCTGGTGATTCCTGAAAGTTCCCTGCGAAATTGGAATAAAATATTGCTTACCGAAACGAACTTCAATACTGAAGCTGAATTTGGTTGCGAAATATGATATTGAAAATTCAACACAGGACGGACTGTTCAATTCAAATAAATTTCAATTTCAATGGAGTCGAAGAAACCGATGAAGTTAGCTTATAGTTTGGAAAAGTGGCAAGGTATGCATATTACCATTTTCTCAAAAGAACTTGAGCATTTGTATTACGACACGGGAAAGATGGATTACCATAAAATATGCTCTAAGCTTCTGTCAATAGAGATAACTATCTCAAGAGACTTAGTCTCAAAGTCTAAAGACGAGCAAAGTTTTACCTTAGAGCGACACTTCAAGAATCTTCCACTCTCATTAGAAAAGAAAGTTGATGCGGCACAATTTAGAAATCAGTTTAGAATTCAATCATGAATTCGATAGTGATGAGAAAAAAAACTTTTCCGTTATTCTTAAACAAATTTGAAATTAGAGGGAGAAATGAAAATTACCATTTATTTATATAACCAAATTTTAAATTCGATTATAAACAAAATACTATTATATATAACCATTTTAAATCCTCATCAGATATTTCTTTGGTCTTACGTAATATTGCTATTAGCGAATTTTCATTTAATACAATTTTAAAAGTCGTTCACATAATCGATTTTAAAGTCAGCAAACGTTGTTGAACATTCAAATTAACTTCCGCAATACCCATTTTACGTAACGGATTTCGTTTGGGAAAAATTTACATTATATTTTTAAATTCCATTATGTGTTTCGAAAGCAAGTGTTATTATTGTTCCAGCGTTTATTTGAACAAGTCAACGTCGCAACGTACCTACTTTATGACATAAGGAGCCCGTTTTCGCGGTATACCTTTTTTTTTAAATATACTATGGAATAGGAATACAAGGAGTATAAAATTAAAACTACTTTTAAGGTTAAATCAACCTTTTTTTTTGCGGTCAGCGGATAATTCAAATGCTCCCACAGACACAGCCCACTGAGTTTCCCGCCGGATCTTCTCAGTGGGTCTGCTTTTATGATCTAATCTCACATTTTTTAAGGCCATTAAACTTTTTCCAACCTTTCGAATACTTTTTCGTGGTCTATCCTGGGAGCGTTGCTAACACTAGCCTTAGCAAGAGCTGTGCTTCGCAGAATCTACCACCGGATCGGAAACGCGACCCACTGAGAAGATCCGGCGAGAAACTCAGTGGGCTGTGTCTATGGGTTAATTCACTCGTCGAGCCCTTCGTCGCAAGCGACGGGTTCGACGAGGATAGTGACCGGTGCTTGTGGTAATTAAAGCACCCTTAATGGATCGGGAGGATCCGTAATGACGTGTTTAGGGCGACGTCGACTGTTTACCATTCGGTCCACAGGATCGGGTATGTTCGTCTCGCATTTTGCCTTATCAGCATGACTCCTATACCAAGGGATTAGGATTCTTCCCAGTCAGAGCCCATATCTTTGACAAAGGCATTTGATATTCCGGATGTATAACTTGTTTTTTTATTCCGGTATCAATCACGAATAACGACGGCTGAACGAGTTCACGGCCCACCTTGCGCTTAGTGATCACCGGACGCCTCACTGTTATTTGTGTTTACACAAATGCAAGAAAACGTTGCATTGAAACTGTCTGCATAAATAAGTCTATTTAACAAATGCGTGTATTACGTCACGTTAATCAACACAGGCGACTTTGTGTCGTTCTCAGATGTTTTTAAAGCATATTATTCATTTTTACAAGAAGTTTTTAAGTTTTACAGGATTAACACTTTTATAAATTCGTTCATAACTATGGTTGGTACTTTATGATTCTTATGTTAAAATCGGACAACTGAGCTGTGGTCTACAAAATTAACAAAATATGTAGACTATAATAATAATTAAACAAGTAACCATTTCCTAACAAACAAAAACGATCTAAAGTAAATCTTACGGCATTGGACTCTGAATATAATTTTAATTGCGCTCCTTGCATACGTCTGAATACATTAAGTCTCCACCTCATCACCGTTTCAGGTTTTCTGTATTACATAACACAAATTATGCTCATGAGTTTATCATCATTACTTAACATTGCTAACGAGATGTTCATAGGACGTTAACAGACGAATATTTAGTTTGCATGCGAACTAATGCATATTACAGAATTATAAAAATCTTTGGTAACTTTCTTTTGTAGCAAAAATTCACATTTCTTCTTGTTTTCTATTCAGTCTTTATGCTTACACCGTCTCGCACTGTTATTGTGACGCATTAACTTACGCGTCTGTTACCGCCATAATGAGTTAAAATGTTAATGTACTTTCTCGTGAAAATCCTTAGTGCACTGACAACGACAGTAAAACTATTATTTTGATTGATTGAACTAGACTAATTCCAATAAGTACTCAAACACACGTAGGCAGTGTAGGCACTGTTTAATAATTAGGAATGTATGAGGAAAACGATTGCGTAATGTAGACTTTAATTTAATTTAATGATAACTTTTAATGATCTCGTCTCTCTATTCTAATGATTTAAAAAAAATATTTGTTAGACAAATTAAACAGAATGTTGTAAAACCCCATTTTAGAACTTGCGTCTTTTTTAAAGTGGTGTGAGTAAAAATATGTGGTAAGTCTATATTGAATATGGGATTCAAACTGTGTTTTCATAAAAGGTTAAGCCAATTAGTCATTTGACATTACTTCGAAGAAAAGACAAAAGCAATAAGACACCGCTTCAGTAATCTCAATTTTTTGTTGCATAGTTCTTCGTCTGGTCGTTACAAAGCTGACGCTTCAAAAAACAACAACAGATTACAGATTCCGATCAAAAAAACAATTGCACCTCACTATTTATCACATGAAACACACACCATCATTAACTAATTAACTATATAGTTCGATTCGTTTGACACAAATAAAAAAATTGTTCGAAAATAAAATTTGTAGCCGATGGAACGTCAACGGCGTTCCGTCGACAAACACAAACTAGCCTGTTGCAGTGGTCGTTTATTTAATCAACAGAGTTCAACAGACCAGTCACAAAATACTTTATTCTATGGTTCTATCTCTCTCTCTCAACAGGTTCAAAACACTCACTTATTCAATCAAAACGAAATCTTTACGGACCTTTACATTCTGTAGCTTTATACTTTAAGCAAAACACGGTACCCAACTGAATTAGCGTTACCTTAGTTACAGGCAATATGCCTTGAAGCGATATGTATTTTAATTTAACTACATTATACGTAGAGGTCAAAATTTGTGCAGGTGTAAATGAAACGGAGATAATCGATGGCACTATTCAGCGAAGAGAATAGCAATATGTCTGACCGAGACGGATATACGAATGAAAGTTTATGCTGTGAATCAAATTCAATAAGGCGATACCTTTGTTAGTGTTAACGGATAACAAACTTTATTGAATGATGGTATAAAACACATATTTCGTTGCTTTATTTTTGGATTGCAAATAAATACCTATACAACGTGAATGATTTAAATATAACCGTTTTCGATCAGTGATTCGATTGCCATGAACGTAATAAAAATATTAATGTCACATTAGGAAAAAAGTATTTGGTCACTTTTGAATCAAATTAATACGATAAGTAAATACAAGGATGAATATTTTGAAAAACATAAACTTACCTTATGGGTAATGAAGTGATTCTCTTTCGGAAGCTTCTTTTTTCATCGGCACTAGTCCAAACATCATTGTTGTTAATGTTCTTCGTTATCTTCAAACTCTTTTCTGGAACCTTCGGCTTCAGCGTCGGTGGCAAAACGGTATCAACTGGCGGCGAAGGCGGTTTCAGAGGTGCGTGGGACTTTTTCACGATTTGCAAAACGACATTCCTGACTTTAGGTTCACTTTTGTTTGCATCTCTTGTCGGCTTCGGCCCACCGGGGTCCGGTGTTGTCGGTTTGTTCCTCAAGGGTCGTTCGGGCTCTAAGGGTTTGTCCAGTCGTTTGATGGAAGGCTTCGCGGAGGACAGGCGTTCCACGCCAAGGCTTCGTTTTAATTTTAATTTAGATGAAGACTCTTGCGTTGTTGCTGAAAGAACAGTATGAATTGTAATTATCGTGCAAGAAGAATCAGTTCCGATATCCTATTAATTATGTTCATATGACGCTCACGTAAATAAAATGTAAAATTGGTCGGCAATAATAAAATTATATTTATAATTGTAAAATAAGTCACATTTTAAATTTAGTACATCTGAACGAATTTAAAAACAAAAACAGATTAGAGTGAATCTTTATGACCCCGCTAAGCTTGACCCGTATTTAACTACGTAAGCATTTTATTGAATTATTTCAAAGAGAAAACCTAATAAGAATATAGTGAACAAACTTTGTCCAAAATCTATTTTAGAAAAAAAAAAAAAAAAAACAATACCTACTTTCACAAGTAGGGATGTACTGTGGACACGAATAGGTTGCAGTGATGTATTTTTTGTAGCGAATCGGTCACACTTACCGGTTTGAATGATAATATGACAGCTGTATACAATTGAGACGTTGATTAGGCAGAAGTATTTTTCATTAGAATAGTTTCGTTCAGCCCTAGGAGAGTTAAGTCAACTCAAGAGTTGGGTAGAACGATTACATGTTTCAAGGTGTGTGGTGCCTTTTACGTTCTTTTGGGCGCCCATAACCAAATACAATCCACAAAAATAATTGGTTTTTTTTACCTGTCCTAGGCCTATTTCTAGTAATAGGCTTGGTCTCCGCGCTACCTATCTTGCTAGTTTCGTCTATCGACTGCGTTGAAGTGGCGGGTTGGACCGCCTTGCTTCGTGAGCTAAAAGTTGCTTTGAAAAAATTCGCCGAGAATCTCTTGCTCCTCGCGTCAGGAGAAAGAGAACTGCTTGGTTGATTACTGAAAAAAAAGAAGGAAAAACCATTATCAGGGGACACCCGGGTTTGAACCGGGGACCTCTCGATCTGCAGTCGAATGCTCTACCACTGAGCTATATCCCCACCGGAACATTTGTTAAAATTATCGCATAGTTATAAACTTTCGTAACGTTCTAATTTAGAACAATCTTCTAAAGTATTTGATGTCTATGTTTATCGATAGATGGCGCTGTTCTAAAAATCCTAGAGTATCCAAGGCAATAGAATTTATTAAAATTGAGGATGTCTAATAATAATATATTTACAGTCAAACCTGGATAAGCGAGAGTTCAAGAAAGCACAATCTCCTTCTCGCTTATAGATACCCGAGTTTCTCGCTAATGCTGGTATATGGTTAGCGTTTCTCTCATATAGAGGTGTGCAGCAATAACAAGTCACAGCAAGTGCGAATGTACTAAAATATGTCATATGATAAAATTATGTGCATAATATGCATAACACATATTATGTACAAATATATTTTTAATTATACACTCGGGTGCAATGAAATCGCACATCTGTACATTTTTTGAAAAATATTATTTACTTCTTTTAATTTAAAAAAATACATATATTTTTTAACATAGGGTTAAAGGTTAGTTCAATACCTATTCAATGATACCATATAAGTGGAGATAAGGTTACTTTCTTGAGGAAAATAAAATACAACAACAATTTAATCTTTATTACAAAATGATTACTCAACTAAATCGTTTAAAATTTGGGGATTAATAAAAAAAAAAAACACAAAAAATACTGAAAAATAATTTATTAGTAACAAGTATTGCCCCCTCATGCCCGAATTACAGCTTCACACCGATTCCCCATCGACTCTATCAAGTTTCTGATAAAGTCTTGTGGCATGGCGTCCCATTCCTCTTTGAGCGCATTTTGTAGCTCCTGGAGATTAGCTGGAGCACTATTTCGACCTCTAATTTTTCTTTTTAATTCGTCCCACAAGTATTCAATCGGATTAAGGTCCGGGCTCCGAGCTGGCCACTCCATCACGGGTACATTTACTTCTTGTAAGTATTGTCTCACTATCGCAGCGGTATGAGGTCTTGCATTGTCATGCATAAAAAGGAAGTTACTTCCAATTAAACGGCCAAATGGTACGACATGTTCTTGTAGAACTTCCTCTATGTATCGTTGAGATGTTAGACCTCTTGTTTGTCGCCTAATATTGGCCCCAACGATGAAGACAAGCTCT